CATCATGTACTTTCATTCGAAATAAAGTTCCCCCTAATAAATAATGCGGTTGATCTCTGCAGAAAATACAACTTTGCTTCATCGACAATCTCACCACAGAATGTGATATGGCAAAATATCTGGCCTTCCTTGAAATTCTTATTTGCTTCTTGCCCCAACGGCACTCGTGGCAATAGGACGTAATGGGTAACGTGTCGAGGTTATACGCAACACGGCCATGGTTCGAGTCCCGATGGGGGTGTTGATGAGGCCAGTTTAGACGTGGTTGAAACTGCACTCCATTCTTGTAGGGATGATATTATCTTTTGGGAGAGCAAGTCAATGTGAAAGTCAATATAAACGTAGGGTCTACTCATAACATTTTGGGAAAATTCAACAGTCACTTTAAACGAAATAGGATGAGTACACTTCAGTGGAACTAAATGAAAATTTCATGACTTATTTTGAATTCTACGTAAACAAATTATCCATGCCCCACTCAAGGTTTGCTACAATTATGAGGTATTTTTGAACATGTCGAAATGCCATTAGGCAAAATCCCAATATTCGTTCCCGGCTAGTGCAAACAATTTTCTGCATATTAATGAATCCGATCCACGATATTTCAATTTTATCTACTCAATTACCTGATACAGTTTTCCAAAGTTCAGACAAATTACTTTTCAGCTGTCACATAAGATAAATTAATTATATGATATGTATTCACCCAATTTCGCTTAAGGTGATGAAGGACTGGTAGTAGAATTTTCCCACAATGCTATGAGTAGCACTGACGTTTACATTCAATTTCACATAGTCTGGCTTCCCAAAAGTTATTCCCATCTCAGCTGGAGTGGACTGCAGTCTCGAGCTCGTCTGACCTGGTCTCATCAGCATCCTCAGCGGGACTCGAACCCTGATTGTGTTAATGCAGCGTGTAATCTTTACATGTCAACCCTCGGCTCACAGTTCAGATGTGAATTTCAAGTCTATGAGAATGCACATGTGTCCATAAGTTTAGAACATGTAGACTTAGTGGAATATAGGTTTTTTGTGAAAAAGCTTACTTTATTGCAAAAAAGTTTAGTTTACTCTTGTTAGCACAGCATAACTGTGTTTCCAGAATAATGACATAATTGGCAGCCGTATAAAATAAGGCGAAATAAAAAGGCAGGGATTTGCTCAAAGCGCATGCACACAGATTGTTTGAATGAAGATTCCTACTCCAAATCAGGCTGCAATTGGATTCCCAAGAGCGACATGGGCTTGACTGAATGTTCACGAAAAACTGTCCATCCTGAAACGAGGGTCTTCGGCGCCAATCAGCTGAATCTGGCGAAGGTATAGGCTCAATGGAGAGACATGAGTTAGCCTCCATTCTGGAAGAATCGTTTCGTTCGGCCGCCCGCACGGAAGGAGTCTGTAGGGAAGACGTTGAACTCGAGAGGATAAGGCAGTGGTGTAGCGCAAAATTGTAGTTTACACGACTTGCAAAGATGCACACCAAAGCTGTAAAATGTGATGCTGACACTCGAATGAAAGGCTTTAAGTGTATTCAGTTTGTCTACACGCAGATGGCAAGGCTTTAAATGCTAAAAACATTGGCGGACGAGGCATGTGAAGTTGGTGTTGAGAAGAGATCGGAAGAAGAGAGTTCGCTGGACGCCTTTAGAGCGGGTAACGGAGTGAAATGCAACGGGACAAACGAGAAGGAGGATTGGATGATAAGACTTCGGCCATGTCAAATCGTATGGTTCTACAGAAATGGGGTAGAAGCGCAATCCAACGGAAGAATGTCAAGTAGGACGTGATGAGAAGTAGATAACCGAAACTGGTCTGTTGCAGACGATTCGATTGAAGATGAATAGATCACATCTACTCCAGTTGTCTGTCATTCTGGCTGCTTTTGTCTTGCTCCAGAAATCGCTGTCCAACAGCAAAATAAGACGTCAAGTCTCGACGAAACCGGCTATTGCATAAGACGGTTGGGAAGGCGGTTGACACAGTCTCGCGGAAAGCGGAAAATGGGGAGTTCAGCAAGACGTGGTGGAGTGTAGAAACCGTTTCGCTCGGTTAGAATCGTGTCGATTCCGCGCTGCAGACTTCTGTACAGCAGTTGGCCAACATGAGCAAACAGGATCTACAAAAGAAAGGCCAAATGTTCACATCAAAAGTGTCTGTGGAATGCAAGATTCTCGACTGCAGCGTGACGAAGTTGCGCCCGGCTACTGGAGCACGTTGAGCATTTTGCTGCCTCTGAAGAAGCTTATCGGCGTGTTGACGTCGGCGCTGAGGTACTGCGTGCCGACGTCGACGCGGAGAGCCCGCAGCGGAGGCAGCAGACACAGTTCCGTCTGTGCTTCGCGATCCTCCAAATGGCTCTCCATGAAGTTCACTTGGATGGCCCGATGCCGTCGAGTGTCCTTTCCGGGCGTCTTCACTTCGCGCTCCCCCTGCGCGCCGCCCCCAGCGCCGGGCAGACTGAGCGCCTGATGACTCAGAGTCTGCGTTGCCTGGGAGACACAACGACCGGCCATGATGGCCGCCTCGGTTGCCATTTGGTCGGGCGTCACGATTCGACCGAGACTGACGAGACCCGGCTCAAAGTGGCCCAATCGACGACGCCAATAGTCGAGAGCTGTAGCGCGACGACTCGAAGATGACGATGGCCGTTCTGACTCCGAGTCCGTGGAGAGTTCTGTGTCGCCGGCCAGAGTGTCGTCGGCAGGCGACTCGGAGAGACACTTTCCGATGCTCTTTTGGTCCGGCGTCGGTCCGTTCAGGCGAGCCGACAGGCCATTCAGGACGACTGGACCCTTCACCGCGGAAGCACGCGGCCCCAGACTCCGTCGGGGCGAGTGCGACTCTTCGAGGGCTTGATAGACGCACTGCCAGCCTGGGCCACGCGGAAGTGGAGCTGTGATGGCGCGAAGACAACTGTCAACCTGGCAACAAGAGACAGACAACCGGACGATGGATACAACTGTTTGGCTTTTTTAGAAGCATCTACTCATAAGTAGTATGCATTTTTCCGACCGGAATCATGGACAGATGCTCGAATTTGGCCACAATCTGATGTCAGTGAATCTCATTTAGCCTTGCCTCCCAACACGAAATCTCATCTCGGTTGGGGTGGACGGCAATTTTGATCGGGTTTTTGGTACCGATGTTACACACAGAGAG